TCTAAACAAGAAATTAAAATTTCGGCATTAAGTGACCCAGGAGTTGACCTGCCATCAAATAAATAAATCAAACCAAATTTACTAACATGGTCGTTCCTTATCGTGGTGGAAAGCTTGCGTGTCCACTCTCACACGTTCACGGTGGTCATCCCCGTACGGAGGGCCTGATTCGTCCAAGTGCGTACAACACCCACACTCATCTGTAATTCTTGTTCACGACTCTTCAGGAGTAAACTGGGCCTTCCCGCCTATCTCCGCCACTGCCACCAGTGGGAAGGAAATGAATATGGAGAAAGGGAGACGATCCAAATGCTCAGATGCGAGCCGGTGCCGACAAAACTCTACTAAGAACAAACATCGGGCAAACAAAGAACATGTTGAGTGACAACACGAAAAATAGAAATAAGACGAGGATGCGTTATTTTAACAAATTTTGATAATATTTTAACTATTTTTAGCATAATTCTGTAAAACGACATTTCTGTTGCTTCTTTATCTGTGATTTATAGGAGGATTGATATTACATAACAGTTCAGTACACTTTTCTTTGTTTCTCTTGTTTGAAGTCACTTCTTCATCTGTGAGGAGATCGTCCATCATTCACTGCCATATAGTAGGACTGATATTATATAACAGTTCAGTACTCTTTTCTTTGTTTCTCTTGCTTCAAGTGTCTTCTTAATCTGTGAAGAGATTGGCCAGCATTCGCTGCCATATAGGAGGACTGATATTACATAACAATTCAGTATTCTTTGTTTCTGTTGCTTCAAGTCTCTTCTTCATCTGTGAGGAGATTGTCCAGCATTCACTGCCATATAGGAGGACTGATATTATGTAACAGTTTAGTACTCTTTTCTTTGTTTCTCTTGCTTCAAGTCTCTTCTTCATCTTTGAAGAGATTGTCCAGCATTCACTGCCATATAGGAGGATTGATATTACGTAAAGTTTCAGTATTGTTTTCTTTGTTTATGTTGCTTCAAGTCTCTTCATTTGTGAGGAGATTGTCCAGCATTCACTGCCATATAGTAGGACTGATATTACATAACCGTTCAGTACTGTTTTCTTTGTTTCTGTTACTTCAAGTCTCTTCTTTATCTGTAAGAAGATTGTCTGGCATCCACTGCCATCTTATATAACAGTTCATTACTTTCTTTTCTTTATTTTAACAAAATTTTCCTGTTTCTTAATACTTTCCTTAGCTTTTGGAAATAATCTTTCCCTATCACAATGTGAATTTGGATTTCAGTGTCGCTATTTACTACCTCTGTTAAAACACTTGCCATATACTTAAATCATTGTACTTGTTTGATTTTGGTCTATCCAATTTGTAATGTGCATTTTGGGCTGTCCCTTTTGCTAACAACTATTCCTTCTGTCTTCTTGCAATATGGAAACAAAAAGGATGATTGTAATTAACATCAGAAAGAGACAGTTGAAATTTCTATCGCACATAATGAGGATTTGATACTCACAAGGCAGATTGAAGTCACGTGTAAATGAGTGGCAGAAGAGGTTTTAGGAGAGATGACAAAAAAGTCAAAATTTATTAAGATCTATTAAGGTTGAACCAGGATTGCCAACGTCCTGTAAGGACCCGGCACGACGACGACGACGACGAAGAAGAAGAAGAAGAAGAAGAAGAAGAAGTATGATGAAATTAGCCTTTTCCTTATAGGAAAAACATTCGGTATTTAAGGAGGAGGGGGGTAAAGAAGAAGAAGAAGGAGAAGGAGAAGAAGGAGAAGGAGAAGAAGGGTGAGGAGAAAGAGGAGAAGGAGGTGGAGGGTGAAGATGAAAAAAAGAAGAAGTATGATGAAATTAGCCTTTTTCCTTATAGGTAAAGTGAGTATAGATTAGGTTTTGCCACGGATAGTTTTGTCCAACACCGAAAACCATTGACCTAAGAACTAGAAGCATATACTTAAAATTCTCGTCTGATTAAGGCTTTCATTTGGATGTCATGCGTGGCTCCAAAACTCGTTCGGAAATATTTAAAACTCTCAGCTGTATAGAACCGATTTCTCACATAACTGATTAAAAATGGTTTCGATCAAGTCAAGCAAGTATCTTAGCGGGGATCGCACTTCTTCGAACCTTTGTGAACTGGCGCTACACAATCACAAAGAACTGTACTAGGTCACAGAAACCACATCACTTGAGAACTTTCCACAGCAGCAACAACTAAAATGAATAGCACATATAACTGGTAAAGAAAATAATGGCATTATCAAGATGTTGACGTTCCACACAACTCTAAAAAAAGGTTGGGAAGGAAAACCTTTCAATATTGGAAACAATTAATGGAATTGAGAAACCTATTTTTCCTTATAAAATTGGTTACAACTGACCCTTACAACGAAGTACAATAATGCCTTGAGATAAGAGTTTAATTCGTAACTCAAAATAACGGCAAAAAGACGCAACACATCACAACACAACAGAGATCCTTCCAGAGTGAGGTGAACACGTGTACTGCAAGTGGAAATACTCTTGAAGCTTACTGACCGCTGCGCCAACTAGCGGACGCTTAACTGAAACTAGCTCAACTCTCAAAATTTAGCTCGGATCTGAAGGCAAAAAAAAAACGGCCGAACTCCCGCTTCTATTTCAAAAAGGTCGTATGTCGGTATGTTCGGATCTCAAAAGACATTAATGTATTTGAAATGTTTAGTAATTATTTATTTATTCACATACTGAATTTTTATAATTGATTTAAGTTTCACTGCGCATGTCCAGATCGTAGTTTATGTTTTGAAAAGGTTTATCTTGAATCCAAGACACATATGTTTGTGGCAATGGGAAAATTCTACAAGATGGATTTTTTTTGTAAAATCACGCTAATATGGTTTTTTGTTTAGGCTTTAAAAATAGGAAAAGGAAACCTTACGCAGCCCTGATATCATTAGGCAACCAATCAATCAGTTGTGTATGACCGACTGACACTCTCACTTGGGGTTATGCAGTCAAAACTGTTTCGTCTTCAAATTTATTACCTTTTTTCCGTTTGCAAAAAAAAAAAAAAAAACATGTGTATAGACCTACCCACTTTGCATACTAGATTTGCCTCTCACCGACTTTTGCTTTTTACCAAATCTAAAAATCACCATTTAGACCCGATGAGAAAAAAAATTAGGAAGGACGTGACGCTGCAGATGATGTCAATCGTGAAAGAGGACTTTGAATAATGTTTGGGTGAAGTAGAAAGGACGCTGGGATAAATGTGTGTGTGTCTCCAAAGGAACAAAAGCTGTATTGCCTTAGTGATTTTCGGCCATTAATATTAAATAGGCTGGATACTTCCCGCGCAAACATCGCGTATTTGTGTCTGCACGTGCGTGTTTGCGCATGCGTGGGTGTTTGTTTGATTTTGCGTGTGTGTGTATTTGTGTGCATAGATTCGCGCATAGCAAACAATGAAATATGTCTCAGTTACCTACATGGATATATATATCCATGAACATTTTCATGCAAAATCCTATGGATATATAAGTAACAAAGAAAAGAAAAAAAGGTTGAATTAGTCACTAACCAGTGATTAAGGTGGGGGGAGAAATTACTTTGTAGGTGTGACCCCCTCTGATGAGAATCTTTCATTTAAACGCCCTCCCACCGAAATGTAGCTAAAATATAATACTAAATACGCTATAAAAAACGGGGGGAGGTTAAACTTTGCAATCTGCAACCATGTCCCCACTCAACCAACGCTATTTTATTTACCCCTTTTCCCGCCTTTTTTTGGCCAACTCTTGTCACTTCCACTACTTTTATCATTCTACTCGACCTTACATAAAAGACAGCTTCCCACCAAAATGACTTCATTAAGTCGAAATGGTTTAGTCGACCATTGTCTTTTTTTATCTCTTGTTTCTAACTCACAACCAATATATAAACGGAATTTTAGGATTGCTTCTCCCTAACGGTAAATGCTTCTATACACTTGTTAATGGCCTCTACTCATTGAATGTAGAAGAACGAGATATTCCGTATACGCGGTTTCAGTTTCATTTAACAACGATCACTTTCAAAAATAAATATGTATGTATAAATATGAACGTACAAAATAAATACGATGATATAAATATGGAAGTTTAAAATAAATACGTTTATATAAATATGAAAGTGTAAAATAAATACATTTATATAAATATGAAAGTGTAAAATAAATACGTTGCTATAAATATGAAAGTGTAAAATAAATACATTGCTAAAAATACGAAAGTGTAAAATAAATACATTGCTATAAATATGAAAATGTAAAATAAACGCGTTTATATAAATATGAAAGTGTAAAATAAATACATTTATATAAATATGAAAGTGTAAAATAAATACGTTGCTATAAATATGAAAGTGTAAAATAAATACGTTGCTATAAATATGAAAGTGTAAAATAAATACGTTGCTATAAATATGAAAATGTAAAATAAACGCATTTATATAAATATGAAAGTGTAAAATAAATACATTTATATGAATATGAAAGTGTAAAATAAATACGTTGCTATAAATATGAAAGTGTAAAATAAATACGTTGCTATAAATATGAAAGTGTAAAATAAATACGTTGCTATAAATATGAAAGTGTAAAATAAATACATTGCTATAAATATGAAAGTGTAAAATAAACGCATTTATATAAATATGAAAGTGTAAAATAAATACGTTGCTATAAATATGAAAGTGTAAAATAAAAACGTTTATATAAATATGAAAGTGTAAAATAAATACGTTTATATAATAATTATGAAACAACCATCAAGTATGTTTTATTTGAAGATACTTTCAAAATTAATAAATATAATGAATTGAAGAAAATAATCAAATAATTCAAATAAAAATTTCAAGATTTTCTTTATTTTAAAATTGTTTATCCTTTTCGCACCATATCACGTGGAAACACCGGTTCTGTACGATCAACGAAGTTAAGCAACGCCGAAACTGGTCACTACCAAGATGGGTGACCAGTGCTATAAGATTGAATGTGCGGGTAGTATTGCTAGGACCACATCACGTTGGAACACCGGATCACTGAAGTTAAGCCCCGTCGAGCTTGGTCAGTACCTAGATGGGTGACCGATTGGGAATACCGGGTTCTGTAAGCTTGGATGCAAGAGTAGTATTGTTTAGGGCCACATCACATTGAAACTCCGGTTCACGTACTATCACCGATGTTAAGCAATGTCCAGTCTGGTCAGTATCTAAATGGGTGTCTGCTTGGGAATAACAAGTGCTGTAAGTTTGGATGTGCGGGTCGTATGGCTAGAGCCACATCACGTAGAAACACCGGTTTACATACGATTACCGAAGTTAAGCAACGTTAAACCTGGTCAGTACCTAGATGGGTGACTGCTTGAGAAATCAGGTTCTACAATGGATAACGGCACGAAATCGGAGAGCCGAGTTCCAATTCCAGTCGGGTTCATTATTATTCACTTACGGGTTTGGGTTTCATCTTACCTTTGGGAAAGACACAAATCCATCTCTTCCTCCCCTAGGTATGGGTTAATTAGTAAGATTTATATCAGTAAATCATTATTATTTCCAAAAATAATTCTTACAATTTAAAAATATTTTTCTTTGATGAAAAGTTTGTAACGTCCGAGTTCTTTTTGATGTCTGCATAATATGCGCTAAGCTAAGGTGTACATTCGGTGTTGAATTCAGTGATTACCATTTTGTATACTTATTGCCCACCAAGGTGAGAGGGTACTGACGGTCCTGCAATTTAACCCATAGTTGGGAGGAAAGAGAATATAACGAATTCGGCTGGAATTTGAACTTGGCTCGCTGATTTTTTTGTTCCAAGCCGCTAATCATTAAACTAGCTGCACATTGAGCAACGTAACTGCATAAAATGTTGTGTGAAGCTCGTCATGTTTAATACCAAAATTCTTCACATTTATCATTTTCTCCTGGGTATGATGATAAACTACACCCGGCAGCAAGGCCTCTGATCAGGAGGTTTTGAGGAGCGTAGATTACTGTGTTTCCCAGGTCTACCATCACCTGGGCTGATAGCACCTGTTAGGGTTCCAGCTATGGTCAAATAGTTAACACCCAAACTGGGATGAAATCATTATGAAAGTATAAAAACAGATATTTCTAATTGTTGTGGTGTTCTCCCTCTAAAAGTCTATGTTATACTCTTCCGCCTATTATAAGTTTAGTAGGAGAGAAGGTTCTGGGAACAGTGAACAGTGAATAGATTGAGCGTTAGTTCATTCTTACGTTACTGTTTAAAATACGATATATCTGCAAACCTGGTTTTTGTTATACAATATATTTTAGTATATATATATATATATATATATTAGCAGCAGGGAATTTTTGAAGGGAGAAAGAAATTACGATCAGCACATTTGAATATCGATAAAAAAAAAAAATTTATAAAAGTACGGAAATGTAACCTGATCTCCTATAAACAAATTTCTTAGAAAGAATACATTTTCTATTCATACGAACCTATCCAAAAAAATTTTCTCGGCATTAAATAACCCATTGAGGTGTTGATATGCCATAAGACAATATAAACCAAACCAAACCAATCAAGTGCCTGTCGAGTGTTGGTTCAAAATGGTAAACATTCACAGCGACGATTACCGAGAAAATATGGATAATCCTATTTCACTGCCAATTCACAGTGTTTTCCGAAACAAAATGGAACCTGAAAGGGTGTTGTTTTGAGATTAAATCCAATTAAGATTTAATCACAATTTGGCATTGGACATTCAAAACGATGACTTTTGAAATTTAGGGTGAGCTTTATTTTGTTAGAACGATATATTTGCATATGTTATGATAGCAATGACTTCTTTTTACACCACTACTATGTAATAGTTATCTATATAAATAAAGCGCAGTGTACGTATGTCTGTCTTTCTGTCCCACCGTTTTTCGACCTCGGCGATTTATAAACAACCTGAAGTAACAGTTCGTAACTATTGTAGTTAAACCCGATTAAAAATTAAATAAATATCCCATTTAAAGTTAAACTTAAATATCGAGCAGGATGAAAGGTTTAAAAAAAACAATTCTTTATTACAGGTTTCACCTTAATTTCGCTTTTCCTCGCAACTGCAACTTATATTGTCTAATTGAACCGTAATTAAAACTTAAGCCGGTCACGGTACGTTGCGTATATGTTTTTTTTTCTTTTTTTTTTCTAGCATGTGTACTGTGATGTAGTCGAAATATTATATAGTTCGGGTTTTGTAATGTCGTTTAAGTGCGACTTTATATGAAGGGATAATAAAGAATGGTGATTTTAAAAGAAAATAAAAACTGCGTATACGAAGAAAGATTATGCCGAATTAAGCTGTCGAATAAAGATAAAATCGTTTTATTATTTCTAAATTCTTATAACTTTTACGTACATAGGACACTGAAGGTAAAAGCTCGAAAGCCCAAAGACCCTCCACGGGAGCTAGACTTAATGTCCGCACGAAGGCTAGTTATATATAATCTGACTTCAACAAATAATGCAAATGTTTCTAATAAAAACAGACATTATAAATTGAAATTTATGCGCGCATTATACAACGGTTACAGACGCAGAAAGTGTGAGAGGCGAACTGAGCCCAAAGGCAAATCTTTTTTTTTTCTATTAACTTTCGCAACAATAACCTTGGAAAAAGCATGAACCCATCTCTTCTCTCCCCCATTTATGGGTTAAATAGAAGCGTAGACTGAATTTCCAGCCTCGGATGGTACCTAGTCTAGGAGTAGAACACATCATTCAAAACTGGAAAAGGCAACGGGAAACTTCACTAATTTTCCAAAGAAATCATCGCAATTCACTGATAATAAAGAAACGGATTCAGTGGAGATACATGATCTGTGTCTTGAAGGGACATGGCATTTGGAAAAAATATCTTTCATAATTTGAGCAACATCGCCTGCTTAATACGAATTTTATTTTGAAAATATTGGCATACATATGGTAGCCGTGGTACGCGAGCCGAGCGAAAGTGTAAAAGTCGATATGTTTCCGAAAGACAAATTTCGACTGGGGACTTTTCAACACCAACTCGTATTTATACAAGTTGTCCACAAAGATATTAGACAATTTCAAACGAAAAACATAGAACTAAATTTTTGTTGCATATCGTCGTCGGCATCCGTCCGTCTCGAGAAACGATGGAGTGCGCTACGAGCCTGGACGGGATATATGGAGAACTAGGGCTGCCCGGACGTCTAGTTCTCCCTCTCGGCCTTGCTAGCAGAGTTCAAAGGAGAGGATAAACCAGGAGTTGCTGTCCATAAAGTGCCGTCCATCCGCCTTAGGGGCTCCACTCCGGGTTTGAATTCAGAGTTTTCCTTCTTCTAGAATTCAGAGTTTTCCTTCTCCTAGACCAGTTGCCATCCAAGGCTATAGAACTCAGTCTGTCCTGCTATTTACCCATAGCTGGGGGGCGCAGAAGCGGATACATATTAACACGTAAATGAATGTAGGGAGAAGAAGAGGATTCATATCTTTCCCAAGGGTATTAGCACGTAAGTGAATGTTATGGATTCGACTGGAATTCGAACTCGGCTCTCCAATCCAAGCTGCTATCCATTACTCCACCGTGCCTCCTGTTGCATATATATATATATATGTTATTATCAAAGTTCTTTTAATGATATTAATAGTTTTACTAATGATATGTTTTTATGTTTCAGACCGCAATTAAAAAATTAACAGGAGTTAGCCTCTAAAATTGGATGACGATGACCTCCCCTCCACAAGAATAAAGCGCTGTCTTGATTTATCGAAACAAAATCGGAAATTCAAACATGATGAAATTACACAGCTAAATATGGAAAGAAAAATCTCTGCCACGTCAATCGATTCTAATGCCTTTGTGGGCACCCTGTACATTGAGCTATTAGAATGATCAGCTTTTAACCATTTATATAAAACTGTCTGCTACACACAACGTAGGCTCTCATAATTGATGCCGTAATAAAAAATTAAATCAGCTCTGCACGAAAAACGATACATACAAAACTAAAAAGAATTTTAAGATGCTTCTATTCATGGTATAAAAAAAATACATTACTTAACTAATTCAGTCTTTTCACCTAACCTCTTTTTGTGTTTATTTCTTATGCAATAAACTTTGCGTGATTTTCGTCATGGCAAACTATCTTAAGTAGATGAAGACTTTCGAATAATATGAGAACTTGTAAGAGCAGTTTTATTTCTGGAATTTTTTATGAAACAAAATAATTTCAAAGAGGTTCTTTCGCTATTTACTATCCATTTAGACTTTGTTTTGGGGTAAAATTTCCCAGCTCCATCATTTGCACAATGCTAGAGAAATCTTAAATGTTTGTGAAATTTACACAAGTGTGTATTGCTTCGGCAATCACTTTATTTATTTTTACGACTTATCAACCCTTTGCAAGTTATTTAAATCTATAAAATAAACTTAGTAAGATAATTTTTAGAAATAATAATGATTTACTGAAACAAGTCCTGATAATTAACTCATAGGTGGGTTCATGCCTTTCCCAGTGGTATTTCCGCGTCAGTGACTGTTACCGTAGCTATGAACACTAATGGGTATGTCCCAATCCTCATAAGTACGCGTAGTACCCCCACTTACAAGTGGGGGTACTATGCAGTCTACGCTGGTAGCGTGGGAAACTCTTTGCTTTCGGGCAGAGAGGAACCCGGACAAGGCTATGGCGAAGAGCAGAGTCTCGTCCGGGGAGGTAGACAAATACCCGATCCTGTTATTGAGGGGTCTACGGGCATTTTTGCCCGAGCTCACTGGCTCGGACTTCACCACATTAAATTTGTCCATGTGCCGCATCCTACTTCGTAGGGAGGCAGGTAAATATCGTAATATACTGTCCAAGTAGTGCACCACTAGCAGTGGTTTACCTACTTCACGCCGCTGGCGAGTATTGTATTTTGCTGATGTTATAAAGATTATCATTTCATTTCCAACCTCCGTTTTGGTTATACCTCATTCAGTTATCCTTTCTAGGTTACAACACTGACTATAACAAACCCGACTAGAAATTTAACATGGCTCACCGATCTACAATACATCTCCCCACCCATCCAAGCTTACAGCAGCTGGAATTCTCAAACGGTCAGCCATCTGGGTACTGACCAGGCTCAACGTTGCTTAACTTCGGTGATCGTTCGAGAACCGGTACTTAAACGTGATATAGCATTCAGCTGACAATCATCGAGTCTAGTATGTTATTTATAATATAACATGTCATGTATATTCAGAGGGAAAGAAAATGTGTGCTGATTGAATTTACAGAAAAAAAAATTAGGCTAGTGTCTAAAAACTTGTTTTTCTCTTGTTCAATACTAAAAAAAATATTTATTTTTCCGTAGCCCATAGTAACGTAAAAGGCATTTATTACTAAAAACAAAAAAATCGTGTCGTGAATTAAGTCAACCTTCAATATACACACTTAAACGGAACCTACTGGGAGCGAAATTTATTGTTAATGAGATTTATATGTTTAGCTTTCTGTTGGTATCGCCGGATGTTTGAACACTTACAAAACGTTTTTTTTCTTAATATCTAGGAAGAGCTAAGTCAAATGTTCATAATTAATCAAATAGCTTTCTGAATTTTTCTCTTAATTAACTACAAAGAGGTTCTTCTACTTTTAATTATAATTGTGTGAATAAAAAGCACGCGATTGTAAATACTGATAGTCCTAGTTGTTGTAGAAATGCATGCAAAGATCACATTAGGCTTCTTGTTTATTGATTGAATCTTAAAAAGAAAATGGTTGAAAAGCAATCAACTGTAAATTGTTTTAAAAGATAATATAAACAATAAAAGGAAAGCTATTTTTGCATATTTAGGCTTTTGAAAATTACAAATCCATTCTTTGAATTCAATTTTTGAAAGTAAAACTTGTTTAGGACTACCTATTCTTCCCTACTACTGTGACAATGGACAGCTCCTGTTTATAAATAATGCAAGTAGCTACATTAGAGGAGGATTTGAGTAGTATTCGTTTTATTCAAGTTATTCCGTTCTATGTATGAGCATTTAATAGACATCTTTCTTTTCCCTACCTAGCCTCCTGTTCCTTCAATAGTCTCCCTAACTACGACCTTCCAAATTCTCAGCTATTTTGAACAAAAACTAAATTACAACAAACTCATTCCATCCCTAGTATTCTCGACATCCTTCTGTAATTCACACTTTCACAGACAAGACACACCCTACCATGTACACAGGGTAAAGTCTCATCCTTATTCCCTTTGTATTCCTTTGAATTTTGACCGTACTAACTAAAGGGTGTTTTTTTTTTATTTTATTGTGGAGTAGGACTCAGCATACATCCTGCCTAACATCGCTACTGTGAAAATGGACTGCTCCTGCTTATAAATATGGCAAGTAGCCACATTAGAGTAGGATTTGAGTAGTATTCGTTTTATTCAAGTTATTCCGTTCTATGTATGAGTATTTAGTAGATATCTTCTTTGTTTTCCCTATCTAGTCTTCTGTTCCTTCGATAGTCTCTCTAACTACGGCCTTCCTAATCCTCGGCTATTTTGGACAAAGACAGCATTAAAACAAAACCCTAAAAAGAATCCTCAATAAATAGCAAAATAATTAGGAACTAAATGCAACATTTTTTTAAGCATTCAACCCCAAGAAAGGCGGGAAGCCACTATCACACAAGGGGTTACAGAGAGTTGGAGCGAGAGCAAATAGGAGTGATAGAGGAAAGGATGAAGAGAAAGATAGGGCATAGATCAGGGCATCTGGAGACGTCGATTGACATTACATTTGAATAGTTGGAGATTATAGCTATCAGGGGAAAAGGAAAAGGGGAGGGAGTTTCACAGGCGAGAAGTGCGAGACATGAAGCTATTGGAGTAAAAGAGACGGCTGCATTTAAGAGTTTCGACAGTGAGAGGATGAGAGCGAGATGCCAGACTAGTAGAACGCTTAAATTCATGAAGTCTGGGAACCAGCGAAAGCAGCTCATCGGAGCAGTTACCATGAAAGTATTTGTAAAAAAGACAGAGGGAGGCAACGGCACGTCTGTGAGAGAGCGACTGCAGACGAGATGCCAGATCAGGGCCAGTTACATTGCATATCCGTCTTTGGATTTTATCAAGAACCCTGAGGCAAACAGAAGGGGCTCCAGACCATATATGGCAGCAATGCTCCATGCAAGGGTGAATGGTTGATTTGTAGATTTGAAGGATCGACTCCGGCGAGAAAAATTTCCTGGTGCGGCACAGGGAGCCAACTTTCCTTGTGGTGGACGAAGCTATTAACTCAATGTATTTGTTCCATCTCAGGTCAGCGGACAATGTGAGACCGAGCAGTCGCAAAGAGGTGATCTCGTGGAGTTGAGTGTCAGGCATTCTAATGGGAGGCAGGGATGGTTCTCACTGGTGAGTACTAGAGAGTAGTTTTGTTTTTGAGGCATTAAAGTTAACCAGCTAATTCTTGTCCCAGTCCACAACCGATTGGAGGTCCTTTTCAAGACAAACGGCCAGGTTAGTTTTGTCGGCGACACTAGATTTGTTTTTGAGGCAGGAGTAAATAGTAGTGTCGTCCGCATGTAAAATATATCAAATGGGATGTAAAAACCCCAATGGTAATAATGCCGTGGTAATGACGCGCAGTTGTAAGAGGGTTCTTTAAAAAATAAGGAATAATTATCTTTTTTTACGCCTTCTCTTAGCAGAAAAACACAATTGAGAGTTTTTTTTTTCCGGGCGAGTCTCTGCAGCTTGGTTTTGTGGAATGAATCCAAGAAATTTAAACATTCATTTTTAAGTATTTGAATCTCAACTTTGTAGGAGTTGACTTTTCTCTCTATTTCGAACTATTTCCTTCTCTCCCTCACTCTGTGACCTTTACAAGGTCAATATGCTTTAGCCACTAGCTACTTAAGTAATCTAATATCTAATCTAATATTCTTTCTTCCAAATACTTTTACTTTAACTATACATTAATAACTAACGGCTGGTTAAGTGCTAAATTGTTGTAAACTTGAAAAATTATTACAACACATACTAAGAGCAACAGGTTTGTTTGAATGCCGCATTCAATCAGAAAATACGATTTTCCCGGCAAGAAAATCAACCGGTTAGTTAGCTTCTCGATGGTGCAACCCAAGCAAGAAAATGAAGGCACTAAGTTGTTATTGAATATGAAAGAATATGAGAATAAAGTCACTTTCTCACAGACATGCTGTGGCTTCCCTCTGTCTTTTCTACAAATATTTTCATTGCAACTGCTCTGACGAGCTATTTTCACTGCCACCCCAAGTGCACTAATTTAAGCGTGCTACTAGGTTGGCATCTAAGTCCCACCCTTTCACTGTCGAAACACTTAAATGTAAGCGCCTCTTCTACTCCAACAGATTTTCCCGCGCTTTTCAACAGTGGAACTCCCTTCCTCCTACTTGTTTCCCTGATAGCTATAATCTTCAAATATTCAAATGTAATGTCAATCGACATCTTCTGATGCCTTGACCTGATTCCCCATCCTTCTCTATATCCTTTCCTCAAGCACCCCTCTTTACTCTTGCTCTCACTCTCTGTAACCCCTTGTGTGCTAGTGGCACTCTCGCCTCGATTGGGGTGATTTGCTTTAAAAAAAAACATTATTATGGAGAGAGAACAATAAAGGAACAGGAATTAAGACGACAGAATATAATTTGGAATGCGACTTGTGCGGATACATTTTCGGCCGGTAATTTGATCAGGTCCGCGGTTGAGCCAGGATCCGTCGCCCTGGACGCAGAGATAAAAAAAAAATAGATGAATATTCTTCTCTTGCTGATAGATACTTTTTTTACTCCTGTGCCAGTGGAGACTTCATGGGTTATTGGCCCTCGTTCGATGGCGTTCCTTCAGGAGGTTGGCGGGATTGCGTCTCGATTAAGGGACGAGCCTCGCGAAACGGAGTGGCTCTTGCAGCGTGTCTCACTGGCGATGGTTCGAGGTAATGCTTTCTCCATCATTGCGGCAGGTAGAGGATAGAAAAAAATTGTTTATAGTTACTTTGTTCAAACTTTTTTTTTTCAGAGGATTAACATTACATTTAAATTTTTGAAGATGAAATTTGACTGGAAGGCAAGAAGCCTAAAGATAGTTCCAAAAGTGAAAATCACGAAATTAGAAACTGTAGAACTTACGGTTACATTTAACCAATTCCACTGTGAATTGATGAGACCTTGCCGCCAATCTAGTAATGCGTTGAAATTCACAAAGTCTCGGTCTCAAATAGAAAATCTCATCAGACAAATTATCATAAAAATATCTATATAGAAAAGGCTGAGGGAAGCTTTGTTACGGCAATGGGAATGGGACTGATATCGAGATGGCGGGTCAGGACTAATAATATTGCAAATTCTACTTTGAATTTGAATAAGAATCTCTGAATACATAGCAGAAACACCGGGCCAATTGTGACAGCAATATTCAGTGCATGAACAATGGTCGACTTACAAATGTCTAAGATACAACAGTACACATACCGAAAAGGATGCAGGTCTACATAAAAAGAAAGGTTGACCTTAACCCTGATCTTTAGAGAGACACACAGACAAACGTAGATAGATCATAAGTTTAGCGTAAACTGTCACGATCTGGCAGTGTGTGAACGGGCAAATTAAGTCGAGGTTCGAACCTCACCCGACGACTACGGTGAGAAAAATAAAACGTATTCATACAATATGTAGAGGTGTTCAATTCTTTCACTGAAAGCTTTTCTTTTTTCTTTTTTTTAATAAAGCAACTTTCAAATATGTCGGAAATTGAAGTTGCGAAGTGTGTTGGTTTTGCACATCGAAAGACAGTAAGAAATAATTATCTTTCTACATTATTCATTGCTTCTGTCAACAAAGCAGCTGGCTTTTTAGATGCGCGGAGTTTAGTAAACGTTTTTCCTTGTTGACCTCCGGCGACATGTTTTCCATTTAGACTACTTGTTGCTTCTGATGCTCATTGCTTCAAATTCGTCAACAAACCTGTGCTTTTCTTTTTTTATTCGAATGTCTCAT